GGAAGAGCGTGGGGAAGCGGGGAATTGTCAATACCTATAATATTGGTGCTCATCTCACAAGTCATATTCTACAATGTTCTACATTATTTTACATGCATACATATGCATACCGTGGGTAAAGACCTTTCTACCGCTTGCATTTTTATGTCGGTGGTATCCTGGAACATCTGTTTTCCCTGAATTAACAGGTTGTACCTCCGCGAAGACCATGACCACATGCACCCCACACCAGTTACAACATAGTTTCTTGACATTCTATGTCTTCTTGATGTTTCTGGATGTACCAGACCATTTTTTTTGTGCTGTTGCATCTACTGCTTACTCGACCCAGACAGTTCACCTTTCTTCGGTGACAAGTACTGCGCACGCGGGTTGCACGTGCGCGTGAGCCGCGCGTGGAGGACCCAGACAGAGGTCGATCATGCAAAGGCAAGCAGGAGGTGAAGTATGTGGTGCCAGGCCGGCGACGAAGCATGTGACTCAACACTGTAAATGGCTTAGGCTAAGGGCTCTAAGGGCTTTAGGATGCTTTATGTGTTCATTTTTTAGGATACTGGGGTTACTGGGGCCTCTGTCTTCCGGTTTAACATGCTCGTTGCAGTTTCAGCTTCAGTCGCTTTTTGGTGCCAAAAGAGGCCGCATGGCGGGAGACCAAGTGACCCTGGACTTTGCTGAGCGTGGAGGGTCGAAAGTGGCGCCTTGGACTCGAAACACTTCGAACTCCCAAGAGATGCTTGGGGGAAAAGCTAAAATCTCTCTATATAGACATAGATGTGATTATATACGCTGAAGCTGAAAAGATGAGAGGGAATTTAACACCTTCAGCTTAAAATTTGCTTGGTAAATTTGTAGGGGATATGATACATGTATGATACTAAAGAAATTGGAGGATGACTTGCAAGTTTTGGAGTCGGAGTAAGGCACCAAGTCCTGAACAGAGATTATTCAAGATGTCTACTCGACATTTGTCAGCTACTAGCTTGGAGATGGAACATCGTTGACCAGAGGTGTTTCCAGAACTACACCTACTCTTGGACCTTTTCCTATCGCTTGCAGCCGCTTGGGGGTGGCTGGAATGCCAAGAGTGTACTCCTCACCTCAAGACCTCGCTGCTCCGGGCCGCTCACACTGAGACCGCCAAGTTCGACGGGAAGACCTTGACTTTTCCCGACGGCTCTGCTTGGACGCGGAGTGGCGACCTGTCCGCGAGGTCCAAGGTACCCAGTGGAGTCAGCAGGACGGGAGTGGGACTGGAACGAGGATGAATCAGAATGGCGGTCCGGTAGCTTTGGTCTTAGATGGGGGTTGGGTGTTTTGGGAGGTAAGTGGTGTGGGTGAGATTCAAGGTGACGTGAAAGAATTCAAGTGTTACAGACGGGATGATTACCTGGTACATCCTGGAACTCTGGTTGACAAGCGGCAAGCGGTTTGGACTCTTGTATTGCCTGGTGCCTGTGTTTTGCATAGCATGAATTTTGAAGGTTCAATGACCTTTAAAAAGATTCAGACAGACTCGTTCGGCCTCAAACCTCCGATTGTGTTACCACAGCCACAGCCGCTGTAAGCCTGGTCTTGTTTGAAGAAGCAGCATGCTTCAGCAAAGCGTTGTGTGGATCGCGCGCGATGGAAAAATGGTTGTATCCAGTGATTGGTGCCCAGTTTTTGCTCCGTAGCTCATGGCTTCCGTGGCAGGAACATGAAGAAGGGTCGCTTGGCAACAGCAGGGGGGAGTCAGGGGCGCCGGAGTTCAAAGCCATAGCAACCGATGCAAGGAATCCCACTGTGCCACTCCACCATGTTATATAATTTAGGAACGTCTACTACCTCAAGAAAAAGCACTGGGCAAATGTAGATGAACTATGAGGAACTGTGCATGCTTCTATGTCCTATGACATCTATGACGGCCATTTGGGTGGAATCCGATGGAATCGGAATCCTTCAAGCTCCCCCATTCCATCCCTTTCCATCAACATCCGGACCGTGTGGGGTCCGCTTCGAGGTAGATCATCCAGCTGCTAGGTTTTTTTCGTTAAGGCTACAGACAGCGGTAGGCTGAGTGACTGATATGAGCCTGCCACCCAGAAAGTCCTATTGGCGAATTTCAAGGCCAAGGTTTCAACCATTTTCAACCCGGACCAATGTAGAACCAGCTATATCAAATTGTTTTGGTACCCGGACGTCTCACGGCAAGACCTTGTTGGGGGATCACTGGAAAGGCTAGTCGAGCCTCGGCTGCTTTGGCATGTCGATCGAAAGAGGCTCCAGCGTTCCTCGAGGCGACTCGTTGCGTTGTTCTTCCGTCCTCGCCCATGCGACTCGCATGGCACAAAGCTGGGGCTGTGTAAGCCGATCGGAAAGATCTTAAAGGAAATCTGGAAGATCGACCTTTGCCGCCTGGAAGATCGGCACCTATCCTGGCCTTTGCTCAACTTAGCCGACTTAATCGTTAACCTATTCAGGGCAAGAGTGGGTAAAAGGATGTAAAAGGTACCGCTAGTTACAGTCCTTTCTCTACTGGTGCAGGATTTCTATTCCCGACCCTCCTACGGTACCTGACTGGTGCCCAGCCTGGGCTAAGGCGTCGTCGGAACCAGTGACTCGGTTTCCAAGTGGCTCCAAGCGTTCGGCAAGCGTAGGTCTTTTGTTTGGACTGTCGCGTGTTGAACCACTACTATAGAGTAACATAGTATCACCCGTGGACTTCTGTGGAATGGCTGAACCGGATGCTGTTTTTGTTCACCATATATGATTACTTATATATATATCTCGATGATCAGAAGTTGAAGCCCTTGAAGATTCAAATCTTTAGTAATCAGCTGCCTCAGACCTGCACGGCTTTTGATCAATGAAAGGAGATTCGCTTGTATGTTCCAGGCATGGGTGAGTGACATAGCTAGCGACAATCGATAGCTAATATTGCATTGTAGATCATTTTGGTAAGTTATCGTAGATAAATGTCCATACATGTCCATACATGTTGTGCAGGCCCAGAGGAATTTAGCCGATGTAGTAAAACAGGTCGTCACTACCCACCTTTTGTGTATCTTCGTGGGTTGGGTGGTGTCGAATTCCGATAAAGACCACAGAAACCACGTTCGATCCAAGCAGAAGCCGCTTGGATCCGAACCTCAGAATCCCATCCAGTCAGATCCAGAGTCAGACCTTCCCCTGAAGCATTCGCAGCTGAAGCATTGGTCTTCCATCCCCTGCCAAAGGCGAGAGAGGCGCCATGTCTCAAAAGATGGGAGAAACCCCAAGTATGACCCAGTGGATAAGTGGATGAGTGGGCAGGATGAGGGGATGGGGTGGGAAAATGGAAACCCATTCCTCATCCCCTCAGCATGATCGAACATCGTGGCTCTTCCTGGACATCCGAAGCTATCATGATATCCTTTTCCTCATTCTGATCAGGTGGTTTAGTCCTGATAATGTTCTTATCATCATATGAGTATATTATATAATATCTTTTGGAGGTTATCATCATATGAGTATATTATATAATATCTTTTGGAGGCCTGGTAAAGACTCGATCGGACCATATCGAAAATCCTCCGCTCGTCCTTCGCTTCTCGATGAGAAGCGCCCACGCAGTGGACCGAGGTATGAATGGAATTCAGTTCGTGGAGCCCGAAGACTGAGAAAGCCAAGCCGACATCGTCAGTTCCGAGTGATCTTGGGGAGTAAAACGAATTGATATGTGTTAAGGTCAACTGGAGAGAAGCCTGTTGTTTGTTTTGGCCAGGTGGAATCTTGACCAATGTTGACCATGTGTGTTTAAAATCTTTTCTCCAGGTCAAAGTCCATCCGAGACAATGTCAAATAGTATTGGAATGTTTCTGAGATTCTATATAAGATGTTGCGCATGTGTTTGTTGCTTCACGTGATTTTGCGTGGAGTACGGCGTTCAGTGATGATGAATCGATTTCTGACAGTTTTCCCCAGCTTGATCACAATGCTGCCAGTAAACCGAGACTTGCCTCACAATTTTCCAGCCAAACAGTGCTGTCCGAATGGTTTGGCGTGGCAACAATGAGCCAAGGTGTTTTTGTTGATTGGTAATAGACCTAGGTGGGATGACCCACTTCTAGGCTACTACTTTTGAAGGAAGAAACTTCCACGCACGACAACTCTAGTGGTTTAAACTTTTACATATGAATATAATGTTTTGGATTGTATATGATGCTATGTACGAGTGTTTTGCTTCCTGCCTTCCAAAAAGGATCTATAACCACAAACGCCCGGTCATAGTCAAAAGAGATACAACATCCTCAGCATTATCCATCGTTTGCACCTGGGTGTTCGCCAAGAATCGGTTTTGGGATTTTGATCCAGGAGTTCTCAGAAGGATACATTCCTGTAGGGTGATGGGTGATGTTTATTGGTGCAACACCATTTGTTCACATATCATCACTCAACACTGTTTTGGACAGGTGCACAGCTACTCATATCAAGTCAAAGCTGATCCAAACGAAGCCTCCTAAAGAAAAAGGCTTGATACTACACATGAAGCTTCACATCGAGCCTGGGCTGGTTATTCCAAGCTCTTCAAACGATGCCGGACCTGGTCCAAAGGTGCCGGAGGTTGCCACTGGTCCAGCGTTCGGTGGCCACTGCGTGGTCCGAAGTTTTTGGAGCTCGGCCACTGGTGTAGGAGGTCGGCTCGACGAAAAGAGGATGGTGTAGGCGCTCTTCTGGCTCGCCGGTGTAGCTTGAAGGGACGCAGCAGCTGTTTCTTTTTGGGGGGGCATAGACCAGGGTGACCATTCTTTGTAGCAGGATGTAGAGATTATTGTAGTTCTATTCGATAATCTCAGAAACACTTCCTTTGCGTTTCGGAATGGCCACAAGCAGGAGCAGCGAAGGAATGGGCAAACTCTGGAGAACCCAGCTGCATCCTCCAAGCGATGTATCTCAGCTATAACTCCTGAGGATGTAATTGGACTATTATGTTGTTGAATAATTGGAGTCTCCGAAGCAGCTACTCCTGACACTCTCGTCAGGCCGTGTGGGTCGCTGTATCTCCCGAGGCGGTCCAGGGGGACTCGGGCAGCGTTGGGAGGGTCGGGCCGACAGATCTGATGGAGGCAACTGGATCTTCAGATTCTGACAGGTTCGAAGTGCACGTTCGTCAAATGAATCAAACATGCTTCTGACATCATCTATCTGCCAGTTTGCTGTTGTCACATCAAGACTGGGTGCTTCTGAAGCCCCAAGCAAGTAGTGTAATCTTGCAGCTGCTGCGGCAGAAATACTTCTTGTTCTTGCGGTCGCAAGAAGCCTCTCTTCAGACAAACCATAGCTATAGACAAATTTATTCCGTCCATGGCAGAAAGTACCCGCCAACCCCCTTACATGAACATTTCAATGTTGGCAGACTTCTGAAGGAGGATTGCTTGAATGGACGAATCAAATCAAGCCTCTCCGACTCTCCGAGGCAACTGTTGCTTTTGCCTATATACATGGAAAAATCGGGGTTTAGGTCTAAAGTGTCCAGGTCTTTCCCAACCAACCATTCCCATACAAGATAACCCACTTGGGTGGCACAGACAGAGGCAGCCTGCACTTTCTATGCGGACCAGGAGCAAGTACCGGTTCGCGTGGAGCGTTCCTTCAACAGAAAGCATGATATTGCTCCTCCCAAAAGTATGCACTTTGTGATGTGTACTAACATGTGACATATGTATGTCTGAAAGCTTCTCCTCTACAATCCTCTACAGGCAAGAAACGCAGCTTTCTTTCAGAGATACAACCCAACAGTAGACCGCGAATCTCCTCGAGCCATTTCGAATCTCTCTTCATCTCAAGGTGCTTTGCCCAAGCGAGCCCAACGACCACCACAGGCGACACGGGCGGTTCCGGTATCAGAACAGGTTAGTGACGGTTAGTGGTTACAGAACACCAAATTCAGATTCCGGCAAAGGAACATTCAACCACTGACTTGGGTATCTGACCACCGACCATTCTTTGGGCGATCTAATTACTTTCGGTTGGAAAAGACTTGGTCAGATATTACCTTATGAATCCATATGGGAGTCCATTTGATGGGCAAACACAAGTTGGTCGCCCAACGAAAGACAGGCGCAAGCCGGGAACTTCCTTGACTTGACTTCACTAGGGCCAAGGATATCAGATGATTTTTGTTGGACTTCAGTGACCAGTGGGTTTGTTTGGATTGTTTGGGTCATAGCAGTTTTCTTGGTTCTATAGGCCTCTCATGGCTGGTCCAAAGCGCGATGTGTCCAGGTGCACACCGACGCCTTTCAGACACCGCGGCAGATCGCGCTGACCAGTATCGCGGTGGTCCGGTCGCCTTACAAGGCGAAAGTGGTGGTGCTGTCGTGTTAGGGGTTGCTACTAGTAGCAATGGCCTCCACCCTAGTAGCGATGGCCTCCAACCTTTACTAGCTTCTTGCTATTCCCCTTTGGGTGGCTCGGACATTCTTTTGGTGGTGCTTTGCAGCTTGACTCAGCTTGACTTGTTCTTCTATCAGCATAGCTAGTAGAAGAGCAATCCTCTCCAAAGATCTGCAAATAAGGAATAGCGTTTGAAAACCTCGTGCTTTGGGGTACAACTCTTTTTGAGACACACCTGGTGTTTGCAAGGTGCTGGGTCAAGGCAATTTCATGGATGCGAAAATCACAAATTACCCCGAAAAAGGAATTGGAGTTGTGTGGCGTTGTATGAAGGACATCCATATCCAACAAACATCCAAATTGTGTCACGATACCGAGTACACCCTAAACCTGTTTGACAGGGGGAAGTAGACACAACCTGACCGACCATCCGGATGGAGTCCTTACTCCCATGGTCCAGTGCCATGGGAGTGGACACCCGCAGAACCAAGACACCCCACCAAATGGAACAGATGACAATCATGATCGACACCACTCAGCAACACCTGTGTGTGTGGGTTATTTTTTTTCCAGACCTCTGGCGTGTTTCTTCGATGTGGAGAAGAGATTGGCTTGTGTCATCTTTGATGTGAATTTGTGGGATGTGTGTTTTTAGCCAAAATGTCTGACCTGACCCCTGTTTCCAGTGAAGCATTGGCACTCGATTCACCAACCGCCGCAATCCTCGTGCCAGGAGCGGTTTGGGTGCCCTCGGCAGCCCTCAGTGACCAAAGGAGTAACTCATCGAAATGACCGGATTTGAGTCGTTCCAAGGGATTTGGAATCAGATTCCCCAAGGGCCTTGAAAAACAGGTGAGCCTTTCGGGGGTTTGAGTTGAGTTTTGTCAAGCTTTGAAATTACTAAGCTGTGAAACCAAGCCCATCCGAATTCACATTCATTCATTGGGAATGATTGGGACAAGGACTTTGGATGACTTTGGTATCAACCAGACACTATGCAAACCTGTGTGTTCTCGCCAGAGAATCACCACTCCGTTATTTGTTTGAACTGTTCACTAGGGCGCATTTGCCCCGCCTGAGGCGTTGGGATTTGTGAGTTTTCTCCCTGACTCCCTCGATCATGGCAACCGCATGCAACCGCTGAGCATGGAGAAATAATGAAAAATAATGAAAAATAGATAAAGATTGTCACATGCGATGACCGATCAGGATATTGATGAGCTCGAAGTTGGTGTGAGGATCTCGAAGTTGGTATAGGAGGTGTGAAGGGTGGATCCTCCGAGCCGGCCAATTGGGTGCCAGGGTCAGCTAGTGAGATGATCGGAATGCTGCCCTCATCTCACTTCCAGTGGAATCCCTAGTTCAATAGCTCTGGGTCAAAACCAGGATACCTATAGGTTGGTCGGGTTTTGACCCATCCCCATATCAGCCCATCTCCCTGTCAACCAGCCAACAAAAAGCCGAAACACGCCTACGAGGTGTTGACCCGCAGCGAAACAGCTCAGGTGCTGGGGGCCAAAGCGGCTGATTGCACCTTGGAGTTTCTGCCGGAGAACATCGGTAGCCAGGAGTGCGACCGGACCGCATGGGATTGCGTTGTTGCGTCGTACGTGCCATCGGTTTGGAGATCGGTTGGTGGATGGTGGAGAGGATTGAGGTACCGTGCCACTGATGCAATTGAATGATGAAAACTGATGGGTAACCGGCAACTCATGGCAACTTATTGTGGGGTCCTCTTTGCAAACAGCAGACTATTTGGCCGAGCCACAGGATGTTTCAGCCAACGTGATTGTTAATATACTGCACACAGAACTGAACCCCAGTTTTGATGGACAAGCGTAACTCCGATTCAGGAGTCGCTGAGGTTGTAGGAGCATGTAGGAGTGTACATGCCTTCAAGTCCTCACACACTATAGAATCCGCCTGCAAGTCAACCAAGCAGTCCAGAGATGTCCAGAGCCATTATGAACCCAACTACGGATGGTTTTGTTGTTGCAAGGCTACCCTGGAAAGCCCTGAGAGTCCAATCAGGGTGATGCCTGCAGCACGTTCTGGTGGATTGGAACCACAAGATACATATCCTAGCTAGCTCTCAGGCAGTGAGTCACCTTCCTTTAACATTTGACGCTTTTTAGCAACCCGTTGGAGAACCGGTGTGTTCTCACTCGCACCCTTCATGTCTCGCCACCTTCCAGGAGAAGATCCGCTTCGCCTTGCAGGACTTGGAAGGCTTCGAAGTGATTTGGGTGCCGAAGCGGAAGGACCTGGCGGACCGGACCGGCTTCGAAATGGACTGGGGACTGGGTTGGACTGTGCTGTTCTTGAAGGGAACCGGATCACTCACTCCAGGTTTGGCCGGCATGGATCGCACGATGGGATCGCACGATGGGATCGCACGATGGGATGCAGCAAAAAAATAGATTTCGATAGCACGAAGGCATGAACCATACTGGCAGGCAGTAGCCTTCAACATAGGAGGTTGTTGTTTACAACGAATTAGCAAAAGTGCTGCTATCAACTTTGGGGTGAAAATTGACCGATCGTGAGCGTGGGAAGGTCCGATGTATGAACAGAACACCAGCACACTCAAAAAAGTCTTGAGGTGTTTTGAGGTCATTTCATGGCAGCAGCTGGGGATTTTTTGAGCTGGAAGGGCTAAGAGATCTTCCGGGCTTTGCTGCTGCTGCTGGTGTGGTTGCTCCTCTTGGATTCCCATGAAGACGTGTTTCTCTTGCAGACGCCTGCGACTGTCGACAGTTCATCAAGTCGAGACCATCGGCCTTTTGCCTCCTAAAGGTTGCTGGTGTCCACTATCCTCACTAAAGAGTGCGTAGGTCACCATGTATGAGAGAACTCAATGTGGATATAAATGAGTGTATAGATAGATAGATAGATAGATAGATAGATAGATAGATAG